TAACGCCTCCTCCACCCCTCACACCCACCCGCAACCCTTCCTCCACCCCTATAGAGGACTACAACTCCCAGCAATACATTATACAGCACAATGCAGAATACCACCCGCTATAAAGGACTACAACTCCCGGCTGGGCGGGGCCTCACCAGGGCTGGGCGGGGCCTCACCAGGGCTGGGCGGGGCCTCACCAGGCCTGCGCGGGGTCAGGAATGAAAGTTAGGCCTCAGCCCTAGACTAGTGAGACGGCGACCACCAAAGGACACACATGATGAGAAGTAAAACATCCTCTCAGCTGCCCCTCGGTGACACTGGAGCCTACAGCGATTGATGAAGATCCATCCTAACCCAAACCCCAGCCATGGTTCTGGAGAGCTCCTGACCTGTCCGGACCAGGATTACCAGGGGTGGAGTGAGGGGCATCTTCCCGATTAGGGGCAGGAAAGAGGAAAATATTAGGATCTTCCCCAGGAGGTTGCTGATCAGTGAATGTCCCATGAAGTTCTCATACATTGTCCCCAGCAGAGAGGACCTACAGCAGGAGGGTAGGATGTTCCTGCGGCTGGCAATCCAGGAGGGGGGGAGGGGCCTCCAGCCATGTTCTCCACCCCCCACCACATAGTATCTGAGGTGCACCCGAGTGCACACACCTCTCCTCTCGGTGCAGATCCAATGGGTTGAGGAGAGCGCAGGGGTCAGGGGGGATTGTAAAGGCCATGCAACACCTAAATAGAACCAGAGCCGTTGTAGTAAGAATAATGGTGACACTGAAATGAATGGAGTTACTCTCAGACACACGGATCTTCTCACCTCAGAAGAGCGGAAGAGAGGAGAGCGGAAGAGCGGAAGAGAGGGGAGAGCGGAAGAGAGGGGAGAGCGGAAGAGAGGGGAGAGCGGAAGAGAGGGGAGAGCGGAAGAGAGGGGAGAGCAGATCTCTGTCCAAAACTTTCCCCCCCCCCAAAAAAACTATTATTGCAGATTTTTAAAAAGTCTCAAGTTAAAAAGATGACTTATGATTATAAAGACATAGGAGGAGTGCTGGGCCGTGTCCACCATCGATGGATGTAGGAGTGGAGGGCCGTGTCCACCAATGATGGAGGTCGGAGTGGTGGGCCGTGTCCACCATCGATGGAGGTCGGAGTGGTGGGCCGTGTCCACCAATGATGGAGGTCGGAGTGGTGGGCCGTGTCCACCAATGATGGAGGTCGGAGTGGTGGGCCGTGTCCACCAATGATGGAGGTCGGAGTGGGGGGCCGTGTCCACCATCGATGGAGGTCGGAGTGGTGGGCCGTGTCCACCAATGATGGAGGTCGGAGTGGTGGGCCGTGTCCACCAATGATGGAGGTCGGAGTGGTGGGCCGTGTCCACCAATGATGGAGGTCGGAGTGGTGGGCCGTGTCCACCAATGATGGAGGTCGGAGTGGTGGGCCGTGTCCACCAATGATGGAGGTCGGAGTGGTGGGCCGTGTCCACCAATGATGGAGGTCGGAGTGGTGGGCCGTGTCCACCAATGATGGAGGTCGGAGTGGTGGGCCGTGTCCACCAATGATGGAGGTCGGAGTGGTGGGCCGTGTCCACCAATGATGGAGGTCGGAGTGGTGGGCCGTGTCCACCAATGATGGAGGTCGGAGTGGTGGGCCGTGTCCACCAATGATGGAGGTCGGAGTGGTGGGCCGTGTCCACCAATGATGGAGGTCGGAGTGGTGGGCCGTGTCCACCAATGATGGAGGTCGGAGTGGTGGGCCGTGTCCACCAATGATGGAGGTCGGAGTGGTGGGCCGTGTCCACCAATGATGGAGGTCGGAGTGGTGGGCCGTGTCCACCAATGATGGAGGTCGGAGTGGTGGGCCGTGTCCACCAATGATGGAGGTCGGAGTGGTGGGCCGTGTCCACCAATGATGGAGGTCGGAGTGGTGGGCCGTGTCCACCAATGATGGAGGTCGGAGTGGTGGGCCGTGTCCACCAATGATGGAGGTCGGAGTGGTGGGCCGTGTCCACCAATGATGGAGGTCGGAGTGGTGGGCCGTGTCCACCAATGATGGAGGTCGGAGTGGTGGGCCGTGTCCACCAATGATGGAGGTCGGAGTGGTGGGCCGTGTCCACCAATGATGGAGGTCGGAGTGGTGGGCCGTGTCCACCAATGATGGAGGTCGGAGTGGTGGGCCGTGTCCACCAATGATGGAGGTCGGAGTGGTGGGCCGTGTCCACCATCGATGGAGGTCGGAGTGGTGGGTCGTGTCCACCAATGATGGATGTAGGGCTGGTGGGCCGTGTCCACCAATGATGGAGGTCGGAGTGGTGGGCCGTGTCCACCATCGATGGATGTATGAGTTTGATGTCATACCCTTTGTTGGCACTTTGCCCGTTCAGTCCTCCTGTTAGCACCCTCACTTATACTCACCTACAACGTTCTCCCCACCACGTAATTTCGCTGTCCTCGTCCTGCGCACGCTCCGTGTCCGATGGTGTCGGAGCTTTCACAGCATTCCTTCATGTGACAGTGTGTGTTCAGGCCTGGTGGTTGGCTACACAAGCACATTGTGAGGCCTTTGAAGGACCAGTGGGGGAGTGCAGCTAACTATAACTGAGGGGGGGGGGGGGGGGGGCTTTTAGGAGCCAGGGGGCTTTTAGGACACCTGCTCACTTTGCCCTGTAAATACCCCGAATAGGAGAGTGACGGAGTCTCTAACTTATAGAAGAGTCAAGCTTTCTAAACACGTTCCTCGTCAGACCTTCCACCCAGACGTATACTACAAGAAGGTATCCAACGAAGGACATCAAGAACACCCCCCGCTACAGGAGCAGGGGGAAGGGGGACGAGGTTTCCTGTGCAGGATTGGTCTGGCAGTGGTGGGAAAGAGGAATGCCGGGAAACAGCAGACCATCCGAGCCAATCGGGGATTCCGACATCACACAATGGTTCAGCAGCAAAATGATTTGTTCCAGAACAACAAAGAGGCTCCAGAAGACTCATCATCCTCCTCCTCCTCCTCCACATCATCCTCCTCATAATCAATCATCCTCCTCCTCATCATCCTCCCCATCCTCCTCCTCCTCAATTATCATCCTCCTCCTCCTCATCACCAAGGCTTTATATGCGGCCCCGTATTCAAGCGGAACACCAACCAGAACTTTGGTTCCTTCCCGAATGTTGTAGTCACCACTCCATCCCTGACACGGGTGAAGTTCTCCAAACTCCGGGTGGAGTACGCTGGTTGTCATCACTCAGCACAATATTCGGACATGTGTGGCGGTGCGGTCTGTGGCCGATGACACGCCGTGGTGGTGATATCAGAGTTTGGAAGAAGCAGACTTCCTCTAGAATATTTTTACTCTTTGTTGGGAGGAAGAGGAAGGACGCAGCACACAGATAATCCGAGCAGAAGGCCGGCGAAACCGGGAGAGCCACCGCCATCGGAGAACGCAGCCCTGCACCGGATTGAGATACCGATGGAAGAGGGACGTATACAGATCTTATTATAGACGGAGAGATCACCAGGCGCGCCGACAGACCACCAGGCGCGCCGACAGACCACCAGGCGCGCCGACAGACCACCAGGCGCGCCGACAGACCACCAGGCGCGCCGACAGACCACCAGGCGCGCAGACAGACCACCAGGCGCGCAGACAGACCACCAGACACGCCGACAGATCACCAGGCGCGCCGACAATGAGAGGACAACGATGTAGAGAGATCAGGGACAGAGGAAGGTCTTCCTAGTCATCTTCTATGGGAAGGAAAAGGTCAGAGCAGAGGGCGGTCAGGTCAGGGGGCGGTCAGAGCAGAGGGCGGTCAGGTCAGG